CATATGTATTCCTTATATTTAAATTATTATATACATATATTAATTTTTTTTAATTTAATTATTATGTCACCGGTTGGACCATTGGTCCAACCGGTTGAATTATGCAAACCGTGAACCGGTGACTTTTCTGGTTCAATGTTCGGTCCAGTTCTGAAAACATTGGCTGCTAAGGAATGTGACTTTTATGTAATTATATTGTATGATTCATGATTGGTGTTTTAATTTTTATTAAAGGATGTTATTCCAACGCTTTGGTTCTATAAATTTAAAATTAAATTTTAGGATTTACACTTTTCTTTGTTTAGGAAATGTTAGCTTCTATATTTTAATGTGCTCCATGGCTTTCATGTGTAGACCCGCATTTCTTGCAATTATATGTATTCCCATCAATGTTCCTATTTCATTTCAAATATCAAATAAGGTTATAAACAATCTTCCATGAAGATTATTTATATTATTGATTATTTTCATTAATTTATGAATTCATCTTAATTCCTATGATTTTAAACCTTCAATTTTTGGTCACTAATGCAACTGATATAATATGAGGTTAATAGGATATCAAGATTTCATTTTCCATGCAATGTCATAAACAACGCTTGTTTTCTAAAATCTTTAGCTTTTGTGACAATAAATTTTATCATCATTTGATGTACTTCTTTTACAACATAAATTTAGGTGAGTTGAGTCTTGAGGACTTACCAAAGTTAAAGCATGTTCCCATGTTTAAAATAGGTACTAAAAAGATACTTACAGATCAGGCACCCTCCAATAAGATTATCACATTGACAGTGAGATTTGATCCCGCTTTCTTGGGTTATGTGATAGATCCTTAGCAATTGAACTAACTTTTGTTAGTATTATTTGATGTACTTTCTTTAGCAATAATTGGATACAATTGATAGTGAAATAGTTAGGTAAAAAAATGATTTACTACCCAAAATATTTTTGCATAATTTATGCATTTTTAACGTGATGATTTATTTTAAGTGATTTACCATGAATTGTTAACTAAAAAATTTAACTACTTGTACATGCTACTATTATTTTATAAATTTTTGTTGATTCATTTAACACATCTGCTATCTACGTACATCTCGAGCATATACAAAAATGAACGGAATAAGGGATTAAAAAAAAGGCTTGTTGTTATGAAACTCTAGGTGTAACATTCCAATTTAAATTTTAATAGTTAATTTGGGTTAATAGAAATTTTGAAAAATATTTAGAGGTAAATAAATTAGTAGGAGATAATTATTAGATCTAACTTAGGATATAATTCTAAGTTAAGATTTTAAAAATTATTATTATTAAGAAAGAAGAAAGAGAAATATAATAGAAAGAGAGATTGAGAAATGTAGTATATATATATAGAAATTAAAATATATATATTATTATATATCTGAGGGTGGGGAGCGAATTTTTCATGGCTGTGTGTACTGTGTAGGTATAGGTATAAAAAAACAAAAAGAAAATAAAAATGTATGAGAGAGAGGAGAGGAGAGGAGATAATAAAAAAAGAAAGAAACGAAAAGGAGGAAGAGGAGGAACGGATGCTTTCGGCGCTATGATTGTGTGATGTGCATATATAATAATAAAAAAAGAAGAAGAAGAAGAGAGAGGAAGGAAAGAAGATAATAATAAAAAAAATATGGGACCCACTGAATTTTTATAAAAACTCACCTGTTTCCTTTCTTCTCTTCAATTCTTTTCCTGTGCGCGAGTTGAGGCAGAGAGAACGCGAGTTACAGATGTGAAAGATCTGAATTTTTAAGGTAAGAGTTTTTAATAGGATATTTAGAGTGTAATTTCAAGCTTTTCAAGACTAAGTAAGTAATCTAAAATTTGTTCTTAGCCATCCTTTCTTTTTGGTTTCTAATTTTGTAGTGATAAAAAATTTAGGATCTGGAAGGGGATGAATTTATGTTGAATAAATATGATTTATGAGGTTGTTAGTAGTATAATAAATATTCTAGAGTATAAATTTATTGATGATCTTTGAATTTGTGACTTATGAATCAATTCTAAACTAGATCTAAAATATATGTTAATTTATTGAGGTTTAGATGATTATTTGGGATGAGAAATGAATTATTATGGCTATAGGATTATGATTCTAAGCTAAAGACTCAATTTTTAATTTTTGAGTATTTTAGGTGCGAATTTATAAAATAAAAAGAAAATTTTGATAATAGAAATTAGTTTAGAAGTTGATTTTTAGATTATTAATGTTTATTGATGACTAAAAGAGGAGTTAAAAATTTTACTTAATAGTATTAACTCTAGATTTGTATTAAGATTGAGATTAAAAATTATGTATATTTTTTAATTCTATTATTAGAATTTTATTAGTTTCAAAAATTGAAACTAATATTTATAAATAATGTTATTTGTAGATTGTATTATTGGTGAAGATTGTGGTGGGAGAAAAATGTAGGAATAATTTATTAAAAAAGCCACAAGATAACCATGCTTTTAATTTGTAATTAGTGTTACTTCATGTTAATTGGGTGATTATTGAAAAAATTATGACTTTTGTAATATTATATAATTGTGTAATATATTATGAATTTGTTTGATTATTGTGGGAGCTGTTGGGAGACTTGTTATTGTTATTGTATTTATGTGTCACGTGGTACGCCCCTATTGGAGCTTAATAGGTGGCTTGTAAGGGCTCGGGCTAATCTACCTTTAGCCAGGTAATTTAGCACCGAGTGAGGACTACAGCTCGATGTTAATGGAGGGATATAAGGATGGTTGTTTGTATGTATTGTAATATTTCTTATATTTTGTTGGAATTATATTATTTTTAATTCTCACTTAATAAGTGCACACTTAACTGTTGGTATATACTATCATAAATTGGCTTTGGTTACTGGGACTTTTGAGTCTCATTATGTGGTTAACAATTTTCAAGAGAAAAGCCACGAGTGACACGTGGAGGAGTCCTAGAGGCTTAGTGGCATAGATCCACTGTCTCTTTTGGGTATTTGATTTATGATTTATAATGTGTTATATTGCCAATATTAGGGCTTTTTGTTTATTGACAATTATATGAATATATAAATGTAATTATACCTTTCAAACTATTTCTATTTTTGGTACACTTTGGATGACTGTAATTTAATATTTGGTTTATTTTGAATTGGTTAAATGGCTTGAATATGAGGCCAAATAACTGGCTTGTTTTGAAAATTTACTAAATTATTTAGGTTACTTGTTGGGAGTATAAGGATGGATAAATGTGATTTAGCCTAATGGCATGTGGGAGGTAAAAAAAATTTAGCTGAAATATTATATTGTTCGAGTTGAAGTCAATTAAAAATATTTTTATATTAAAATTATTGATATAAAATGTGTTAGGTGGCTGTAACCCAACTATGATTGAGTTAAATTATTAAAAAAAAAATTTGTTGTGTTACACTAGGACACTAAAATATTTTCTTTTCCTCAGCATTTTTTGGTCCTGCAACAACAACAACAACAACAACAACAACAACAACACAACAACAACAACAACAACAACAACAACAACACAACAACAACAACAACAACAACAACAATTGTACCTTCTAAATTATTAAAATCAAACCAGTCATATAGATGAAATGACAATAAAAAAAGAATAATTATCGCACATGTAGAATTTCTTTGGGAAAGTGTGAGTTATGAATAAAAATTTTGAAATTAAAAAATTAACATAATAAAAATAATTTAAATAAATTTTTACATATATTTAAATGAGAGATTTGCCGCGATCTAAATTCTCATTAATCCATACACAATGACATAAGTCAATTTGGGAGATCAAAGGCTCATGATTTTGGGATTCAATCTGCGCTGTGACATGAAAACATAAATTGGGGAATATACTGTTAGTGATTCGAAAACAGTGACTGATTCTTATTTTATTTTAACCAGCTGGATAGGGCCTTTTTAGTCAACGCACAGATCAAAATGAGTAAATGACAAGAAGATATAAATTGGTATTGTAATATATACATGTATATACTTCTAGTTGGATGGTAATTAATTTTCCTGGCATAACTGTGGCCAGTTATGCTGTAAAAAGTTAAAAAAAAAAATGTAAAATCAAATAGCAGTTGATGTATGATCATGAGACATATTGGGAAAGGGTATGCTTTTATTTTAGGTGCCGTATAATGTTGTATTATTTACTCCATTTCTGGGAAAATGTGATGTCACAACGTTAATATTGTCACGAATCCAACAAAACTTCGTTCTCATAACAATGATGCTCAAAGCCAGACACTCAGCTGTATTGCATGCAAATTTATATATAATTCATGTAAAATTATATTATATTAAAAAAACAAAAAAATATAACTTTTAATCTCCAAACTTATTTTTAATTACCCATTCAATTAATAATTTTTGACTTGAAACAGCTCAGTGCTTATGGTTTATTGACTTGGAATGACCCAATTTTTATAGTTTATTGACTCGATCGATGATGTTCAACTTTTATAATTCTACTGATAAACTATTAACTTTTTATTATCAATGTTAATAAAATATTTTTAAATGTTAACGAATTAAGTTTTAATTTTGTAAAATAACAATCAATTGATAAAAAAAATCATTTAAAATTAACAATATTAGGGTTAGGAGATTAAAAAAAATATTTTACAAAATTAAGAAAACAAATTAAAATCTTATATAAAATTAAACACTAAAGATGCACTTTTCCCTTAAAAAATTAAATGGATGCATGATTGCCAACGTCAAAATCAAAACAAGTGATGAAGAAAACAAGAAGCAAATATCTTATTTTCGATGGAAACGACCCAGAAATGGACTTTTCACTGGAGATAACACCATGAAAACCTTGGAAGCATCAGTTAATTAAAGCAACCCCTACCGGCTTCCCAAGTCGTTTTCTCACGTTCTTCCTTCCTTTTAATCCTCCGCCATCCCTCCGTTTCCTCAATTTTAGGAGAGCCATTAATCAGCCAAACACATTACTGCATGATCAGATCATGGCTCGTCAACCCAATATTATTATTCCCCGGCGTGATCATCATCATCATCATCAACAACAACAACAACAACAACAAGAGACTGTGATCGAGATCAAGAAATCCGTGAACTTCACAGGAGGGCTCGAGTTCTCAGGCCTGACCTACACAGTGACTAAGAAGAAGAAGGTTGATAGCAGCTGGGTGAAGGAGAACGTGGACTTGCTTCATGGCATTACTGGGTACGCACCAAAGGGTTGTATCACTGCAGTGATGGGTCCTAGTGGTGCAGGCAAGTCCACCTTCTTGGATGGTCTCGCTGGCAGAATTGCGAGTGGGAGCCTCAAGGGAAGGGTGTGTTTGGATGGCACAGATACAAACCCTACGTTGATCAAGAGAACTTCTGCTTATATCATGCAGGAAGATAGGCTCTTCCCAATGCTCACTGTGTATGAAACTTTCATGTTTGCTGCTGATTTTCGATTAGGTCCTCTTTCTCTTGCTGAAAAGAAGCAGAGAGTAGAGAAGCTCATTGAGCAGCTTGGCTTATCAGTAAGTGCTGCCTCTTAACCTTTCTCTGCTTTAAATATGTTGTGAATTATCTTTTTCATCATCTTAGTTGTATATGCATGTGCATATCGACAATATATATATATATCAATCGCCATCTTTTCATCAGATTTCAAGGCAGTTCATGTTATTTCTTGACTTTAAGGAGTTTGTAAATACTAGCTAGTGTTTGTACTTGTAGATTTGTTTTGACTTAGCTTTACCAGGTTATTTCAAAAGTATTATAAAAACTAAGAATATGCAGTTTGAGTTGGTGGATGCTAGAAAAGCAGGGAAGAGTAAAGAATATTTAATTTGATGTATATTATTTTGTTTCTCGTTCATCAATCAATTATATCAGGAAAAAACATATTTATTTTTTGAAATAATTCTCTTCATTTCCTTCATTTAAATGATCTTATAATATGGTCAAAACTCTGATCTAGAAACTAATAGGTTTCTCAGCTTAATGAATAATGAATATTGATGAATGGATTAGCCCTCTAGCAATTAAGTAATATGAATTATTGATTCCCCCCCCCCCAAAAAAAATAATCCTTCATAAAAATGAAAATAAGTAAGATGAGTATAACAAATAAAAATAAATTTCATATACGTCATAGTTTTTTGTGATATTTTCTTTTAAATATATACAATAACTATAGTGTAATGTGGAAGGTCAAACTTAGCAACTAAACACCGTCTGTCTTCTAAACTTGGTACTGACGGTGCGTTGACGACGCAGTCAACTCGAAACACGTACATCGGAGACGAAGGAACAAGAGGAGTGTCTGGCGGAGAGAGACGTCGAGTGTCCATCGGCGTCGACATCATCCACGGACCATCCCTTCTGTTTCTCGACGAGCCCACTTCCGGTCTGGACTCCACCAGCGCTCACAGCGTCATCGAGAAGGTCCACGACATCGCTCGAGGCGGCAGCACTGTCATCCTCACCATCCACCAGCCTTCCTCCAGAATCCAGCTCCTTCTCGACCACCTCATCATCCTTGCCAGAGGCCAACTCATGTTTCAGGGTTCCCCCAAAGACGTCGCTCTCCATCTGGGTCGCATGGGACGCAAAGTCCCCAAGGGAGAGAATCCAATTGAGCACCTCATTGATGTGGTTCAAGAGTATGATCAGTCTGAAGTCGGTGTCGGAGCTCTTGCTGAGTTCGCCCGCACTGGAGTGAAACCCCCTCCGTTGTCTGACCAGGAATTCTCCCTCTCCACCGTCGCACAGTCAACCCCAGGTCGAAACCCTCGCCACGAGGACCGTTCCATGGTCGATGAGTTTGATCACAGTCTGAGAAGCTCCCATACACCCAAGTCCCGGAATACCGGCAATAGTGTATTGTTTCAAAAGCTTACACCTTCCCGCTTTAAGAATGAACATAGACTGCAAAATAATCCTTTACGGTAAACCAGAAGTCCTTTCTGTTTTATAAAATATATATATATATATATATTAAATAAACATTTGATTCTTCAAATCTCTGATTTGAGATTTTTGTTGTTGTTGAAAGTAGTAATGCTTCGCCTGGGTACTATACGTACTCGAACGAGATCCTCCCAGCAACACCAACGCCACATAGCAGTGACTACACAGTGAATGAGAACGACTATATGACTCCTCCGGATGGCATGCTAAAGCATCTGGGTCCGAAATTTGCGAACTCTTTCATGGCGGAGACATGGATTCTGATGAGGCGGAACTTCAAAAACATCCGCAGAACACCTGAGCTTTTTCTCTCCAGATTGATGGTGCTCACGGTGATGGGCGTCATGATGGCCACCATGTTCAGGAACCCTAAAGAAAACGCGCAAGGAATCACCAACCGCCTCAGCTTCTTCATCTTCACTGTCTGTCTCTTCTTCTTCTCCTCCAACGACGCCGTGCCGGCATTCATCCAAGAACGATTCATTTTCATCAGAGAAACTTCCCACAATGCCTATCGAGCTTCCTCCTACACCATCGCCGGCATAATCACCCACACGCCTTTTCTTGTTCTGCAAGCTTCCGTCTACGCCATCATCGTCTGGTTTGCTTTGAAGCTGCAAGGCCCTTTTCTGTACTTCGTGCTGGTTCTCTTCGTTTCTCTCCTCTCCACAAACTCGTTTGTTGTTTTTGTGAGCTCGGTGGTCCCGAACTACATACTGGGTTATGCTGCTGTTATCGCTTTCACTGCTTTGTTCTTCTTGTTCTGTGGCTACTTCTTGAGCAGCAAGGATATTCCTATCTATTGGCGTTGGATGAACAAGATTTCGACCATGACTTATCCTTATGAGGGGCTTTTGATCAACCAGTATCGGAACTCAGATGTGTTTGGATCAAGCCTGGACGGGATAGATATTACAGGTTTTGATATCTTGAACAGTCTTCATATAAGTACTGATTCGTTTAGGAAGTGGGAAAATGTGATTATAATGTTGTTCTGGGCCGTCCTATATAGGATTTTGTTTTACTTGGTCCTTCGCTTTGCTTCTAAAAACCAGAGGTCGTAGACAATCATAGAAGGGAAAGAGCGATCGACAAATCAAAATTTGTTGAAGCATTTCAAACAAAGGATTATTGCGTCTAGCAGACACTGTTTCATCTGTTTTCAATATTATTACATTTGGTAGCAACCATATATACGACTATTTGTGTATAGATCAGTTAATTTTGAAAAAATGTCACTGAGTCATGCTTATTGGTTCTCTCCTTTGCAAAAATGAAATAGTCATATATAGAGATTTAAACTATGATTGTCTCAGTCTGTGCGGACAAAGTTGACGAGTCAGTGCCACAAAATCTTATTCAAGAGAGTGAAAAGAAGCTTAAAAATTCTGCTGTAAAAGCCAAATAAGATATCAAGAAAAATCATGGAAGATTTCAAAGTAATCCCATCTTTTTTCCTTCCAAGACTTTTCAGCAGGCTAGAAGGGTATAAAACCCATAGAATCATAAACAGGAAAAAGATTACGGTACCCATTCATTATAAAAGAGGAAAAGAACAGGAAAATCTGCATAGAAATAAGATGCATCCAAAATGGGTAGGTTCGTGGTTCTTTCCGCGGACACAAAATATCAAGTGTAAGGGGACTAAATTAATTTATATTAGATGTCTGAAATTGGAATAATAATATTACTAATATCCAATAATAAGTCTTGGGAGTTGGGATCGCCCAGCTGTTGCTCCAAGTGTTAGAAGAAAACATGGAAGCCAAGTTTATTGGCGTTATATATATATATATATATATATATATATAATAAGAGGTCATGTCTTTATCAACAAAAAAAAAAAAAGTATTAAAGGGGAATATGCCAACAAATCTGTTGGAAGTATCGATTTGTCGGGCATAGACCAACCAAGTTGAGCCTCAGTTTATGAATTCAAGTTATTCAATTAATTTTAAAAAATTGGCTATATTATATAACACTCACAATATAGAGACCTCTAGATATACCTAGAAGGCTAAATGTTAGATTTTGTTATCCTTTCTTAGCAGAAGATTCCCTAATAATAGAAGTATATGCCATAACAAATAATTCTGGCATGTATATATATATATATATATGGATATAGATATAAATATATTAGATGGCATAATTGGGTTTTATTTGGCCCAAAGAAAATAATAATTGGGTTTTATTATAATTTGCAATTTGTTTAAGGGAAGTGATCCAGGCCTAGAATAATTTTAGAAGTCATTAATATAATCCATAAAGATAAAGGAAGATATTGAATTATTGGTAGTAATTAAATATTTGTTAATTTAATTTAAAAAGTATTTTAAATACATAAAACTAAGTATTTTATTTCCTGTCCGCTTGTAAAATAAAAAAAAGTATTTTTTTCCTGTCCTAAAACTCAAATCAAGTTGGTACACCTATGCCGGAATGAAGAATTATCATACCTTTTGGAAACTTAATTTCGGTGCAACTGTGAGTAATAGAAATTGATATATTTTGTCGTTATAAGAAAAGAAAAAGAAAGTGATATTGTGAAACAGATTGCTCTAGTTTAAAAAAATTTAAAGTATATATTCAATCATTTAATTTTACATAAAGCTTCATTTTTTATATTTTAATTTTATAAAATATATTTTCAATTATTTAACATTAACACTGTTAATTTCATTACAAGAAATTTGTATATTAAATTTTTAAATATTAAAAAATATTTTTAAATGTTGACATATTAAATTTAATATTTTTAAAATAACAATGATATTTTTTTAAAATAAAAGGATTAAATTAAAATTTTATATAAAGTTAGAAGATTAAAAATATATTTTATCCTTTAAAAAATATGCTCCTTTTATTAAAAAATGTAAAGCATTTTTAACTGCATCTTACCTATAATAAAGTGGTTATTTACTATTAAACTAACCCTATCTTTTTATATTTACCCATATTAAATACTCTATAATAAATATAAAGTCATTTATTAATAAGGATACTTTTGAAGAAAAAAAAGACAATGATTATACTTCAAAAGATTAAAAATATTTTACATTTTTTAACATCTAACTTTTTAAAAAATATTTTATATTTTTAAATAAAGGAGTATCATCAAGCTAACTTTAGAAATTGTCAGATAATAATGAGTGTGCGTGCGTGTGTAATAAAACATTCATTCCTGATCATGTCTTATATCTTGACTTGGTTAATCCATATAACAAAACAAATGTTATCAGGTCATAAAAATATATTAACATTAATCTTAAATTATTTTTTCAGTTGCTGTGAGAAAATCTATAAACTTCAGAAACGTTTCAAATAAATTTTGGAAAAATTACTCACTTAATTTTTATAGTTTTGACTTAATTATTACTCAATACCTAAACTTTGATTCATTATAATTTGATCTTTGAAACTTTGACTCGATTGTAAATTAGTTTTTAAATTTTTTATCTTAAAATTTAATTTCTGAAATTTCAACTTCTTAAAATATTGATTCTTATATTTTAAAAAATAAAATTATAAAAAGTCAAAATATTTTAAAATTTATTTTTAATATTTTAAATTATTAAACTCTTTTAATATTTATAAATATTAAAAGTTTAAAATATTTTTAATTTTTATAATTTTAATTTTTAAAACATAGGGACCAATATTTAAAAGGCTGAAACTTCAATGATTAAATTGCAAGAGGCAAAGTTTAGAAATTAATTTATAATCGAGTTAAAACTTCAAGGCCCGAGTTACAACATGTCAAAGTTGAGAAATTAAGTTACAATTAAGTCAAAACTATAAGAATTAAATAATTAATTTTTCCTAAATTTTCAGAATCAAAAACATCATTCTTTACCGCATTCATTGAGGTTAATGATGGAGGATGAACGAATGAGATTAAAGAGAAATTACCAGCCATGTAGCTCAAATTAAAAATGCCAGCACCTGAACATTTAACATAACTCTGAACTTTATTTAGATTGTTTTCAAAACTTTTACCTTTATTAACCCACAAAAAAAAAAGAGAAATTAAAGAAAAAGAAAAATTAGAATCAAAATACAACAATGTTAAATCTGGGATACTCTTTAGTCTATGTGTGCATTAATAACTCAAGAGCTTGAAGAATGGCATGGGATTGACCAGGTAAAACGTTATATACCAGGAACATCAACATCGATCTCTCCTGTCTGTATTTACAGCACTATCCAATGGCTCTAGAAAACCTCATCCCAGCAGCTTTTTTCCTCTCAATTAGAAATTTTGATGAGTGATCCTATGATGAACGAATAATTTGGTTTAGTGGAATATTAGGAAGAACCCAGCAGCTAGATCAAAAGACAAACTCAGGCTAAACCTTAATCTGACAACCCAAATTAAACCCCTCCAATCTTAACACCAATATATTCTTCAGACTCAACTTTCGGTAAGCTTCAAAAACGCTGTCATCCATCTTCTTGATTGGTGAAGTAAATTTTTTAGATCAATGTTTTCGACAGCCACAATGACAGATGGGAGTGAACCATCATCAAAACTTATTAATAATCAATATCAGAATGGGATAATAAAGCCATTTGAAATCCTTGTTTCCTTTCTTCCTTTGGGAATATCTGTCATAAAACTTTGAGAGCAATGCACCAACTTGGAGATATATATATATATATATATATATTCAAATGTGACTTTCAGGCTCCAAAGGTTGAACAGCCAGGCACTATACTGATAGAATTTAAGGATTTCCTGTTCTTTAGGGCTTTCCTTGAGCCACTTAGTTTTTATTATTTTACATGCTTCAAATTTCAAGCATTTACAGTGAACTGCACAAAGCATAATATAATTTAAAATCCAAAAAAGAAAAAAGATCAGTTTTCTTATTTTTCAGTTGTCACCTCGAAATTTCTGATTTCACTTCTCATACTAGGGGTTAAACAAGATGTTTCTGTCTCTTTGCTACAGTTCTAACTGCTAACAGCCAATAAAATGGAATTCTTAGTGGATAATAATGAGAATTTGGATTTACAAAATCAGAAAAAATGTTCTTTTCTGCCGTAAAAAGTCAGAAACTATTTGTTCGTACGAGTACTCCAGAAATTCTCATTCGTTACCATGGAAAAATTCCTATGCCCTCTTATTTCCATTAGTTTTTTGTTTTTTGTTTTTTTGGTCAAACTTATTTCCATTAGGTTGTATCCATTGAAAATACCAATAATGAGAGGGACGAAGGTGGAGGAACACAAAGGATTGCTCATTCCTATTATTTTAGTCAATACTGGTATTCACTTAACATAATCAAGTAACCACCAACAAAGCAAAAGACAACAATAAAATTTAACATTTATATATAAATTTACTTTTATTTTCCTTTTTAATTGAGACTAACAAGCAAACAAATATAATTATCAACGAATTGTTCTAATTCAAGCCATAACTCATATTCCATCTTCTTCCTACCTCCTACAGCTTCAACTTCAGAAGTCAAACTCATATTTTCAAGAATCCCAGGCTCCCTGACCCTATCCAGACAAAAGGCTCTTTTAGAAATGGCTTAAGATTCTTTTAGGAGGAAACTACAGAAATCATTGAGGTCACGAGCTGTTGCTCAGAATTGAACAAGGTGTTTGCTGTTATCTGAATCATCAGGAAACTAAAGAGTACTGACTCTGGATTGTAATGACGGACAAAGTTTGACTCGATGGAGTTTAGAAGATGAGAAGTTAAAGATTGGCATGGATTCATGTTTGACAACCCCCTGGGGTGAACTTTCTTTCAGAAAAACATGGAGGAATTGGATAACCACAGTTTAAGACTTGTTATGGTTTACATCCTTTGCTTTCTCCTGTTTATCGGATCAGCTTCTGCAAGTGAAGGTTAGCAGCTTGAGCACATTTTTTTGGATCATCATATGTTATTCATTACTTTCTTGATCAATTTTCCTCTGAAATTATTTGGATTTATCGTTCTGTATGTTGACTAAGATAAGTTTATGGCTTATCATTCTCAAAGATACACATATAAAACTAATAGTTATATACTGTAGTATCAAGATTTTAGAGAATCATAAATCAGTTTACATTCTTCTTTGATTGCTAAGCATTTTTTTTAGGGCATGTCTCAATTATAGAAGGAAAAGGTAGGGAAGCGAAGTTTTCTATTAGATTTAAATCAAAGGGAAGATAAATTAAAGCCTCCCTTTCTTTCTTTTTCCTCCGTTAATTCTCTTGAGCCCAAGCATACCCTGATAGGGCAATTAAGTAGGTACATAAGTATGATCTGTTGACATATTATCATCTAGCAGATTTTGTGAGCATAGCATGCTGTGCTGATTCAGATTATACAGATCCAAAGACCTCGGTAAATTACACATCAGATTTTAGTTTCTACCCAGATAAAACAAGTTGCTTAGACACAACCAAGCCTGTGGGGAACAACGCAGGCCGTGGAAAAGCTAGAGTTTTTTATATAGATGAAGGAAAAAGATGTTACAACTTGCCAACAGCTGAGAATCAAGTGTATCTGCTAAGGGGCACATTTCCATCTGATGAATCTCTAAGTAAATCTCCGAATTCCTCTTTTGATGTTACAATTGGGGTTACCTCATTAGGTGTAGTAGAGAAACCACCTCAGGACATGGAATTACTTGAAGGAATTTTCAGAGCTAAGAAGAATTATATAGATTTCTGCTTAGTGAAAGACGAGGGAAGTCCATACATTTCACTGATTGAACTGAGGCCACTGGATGAAGAGTACCTACAGGATTCCCCTTCTAGTGCCCTGAAACTGATCGCAAGAAATAACCTAGAGGCCAACGGAGATGACATCAGGTATGTTAGCTGCAGTTTCCATTCATTGTGAAATCCTGTAAATCTAGCTGAGTAATAGATTTTATCTCCTAGAGAACCTAAAAGACCTAACTTTTTCGTAAGTGAAAACTCATTACTGTGTTTTTTGAGTTAAAAGCATAAATAATGCATATACGAAGTCAGCATCTTTTCCCTATAGGAAAGATGCAGATGCACTTTAGGTTATGCCCAAAAACGTAGCTTACCATGTTTTGGACCAAATCTATTATCTATATTAGTAGAATGGTTCTTGAAGCCATTTCATAGGCTTTTGGAATGCAAGAAACCTCTCATACATCAAGTAATTTTTAAGTTGTTCATACTTCACAAAGTATGTAAACCATAAATTTTATAATCAGCACAATGCACCAGAATTACCTTTTCCCTTTACGGCAGTGAGTGCATTCAGCTTTTATTTTGGCGATGCAATATGGAATGCAGACCTAATGATCTTAACAAGAAATAACTAGTTGGAAATACTATACCTCATTACCATATTATGGAGAGAACAGCAGAATCCTAATAGGATGTTTTGTTTGAAAGCAAAGAAAAGGAAAAGAAAGTTCATAATGCCAAGGAATTTGCTGATTTCAGGCACCCACTTGACAAAACTGACAGAATCTGGAAAGCTACTTCAAGTCCTTCATCTTCTCCCATAACATCATCCAATGCGAGCATTTCCAGTCACAATGCTAATTCGACACCTCCTCTTCAAGTCCTACGAACCGCTCTTACGCATCCTGAGAAACTGGAATTCATCCACAACGGCCTCGACCGTGGGAATTCCAAATACCGTGTGTTTCTCCACTTTCTTGAATTGAATAAGAGTGTCACACTAGGCAAAAGAGTGTTTGATATCTACGTAAACGGTGTCATCAAAGAGCCGAAGTTTGACATATTTGCTGGCGGATCGAACTATAGACAAGCTGTTTTGAACTTCTCGGCAAATGGTTCGCTGAATCTAACCTTGAGCAAGGCCTCTGGGTCTGAGAATGGACCGCTTTGTAATGCATACGAGATCCTGAAGTTTATCCCTTGGATGCAGGAGGCCAACCAAACAGACAGTGAGTATAATCCAAAATCCTTGTCGCTGTGTGTTGAGGATTTTCTTTTCTTCGCTTTTCAGTTTCTGATTCAGTTTGTATGGCACATTCTGGTAAATTTCACAGGGGTGGTGTTTTATCAGATAACCGTTGTTCAAGTTGACATCTTTAAGCAACCATTATGAACTATATTGAATAATAATAAACTTGAAACGGTATTGAGATGTGCAGACTTTTCACTGATAACCTAGTATTTTGGAATACGCATCTATCAGTGTACATTTTGTCCCCATTTGATGTATTATACTCTGTAGTAGAATGTCTCTCTCCCTTCCTCTCTCTTAAGCAAACATCGTTATGTCTGCATTCAGCGGAAGTGATGTTGAAGGTGAGAGAGCAATTGCTAGAGAATAACAGAGGAAATGAAGAACTGGAGCGTTGGAGTGGAGACCCATGCATACTGTTCCCTGGGCAACATGTAGTATGCGACCGTTTAGGTGGTCAACTTGTTATCACTAAACTGTAAGCTTCTTATATTTTTCTTCTGAAAAAGGATATACCTTCTAGCACGATATAAGGTGTGGTTTATGGCACAAATTATTGTTGTTATTATTATTTTTTTCAGGGATCTTTCGTCAAGTAATCTCCGAGGACCGATTCCTTCCAGTATCACTGAGTTGTCCAACTTGAGAATATTGTATTGCTCTTAAAACTCTGTTTCTTCAGTATCTTATATTCTTATTGCCTTCTTTATTGTATGTATAGGGACTCTGTTTTTATTGCGTTAATTAACGTAACTATTTGTTCTTGTGCAGGAACCTGAGCTATAATAGCTTAACTGGGAACATTCCCTTATTTCCACATTCATCTTTGCTTACATCAATGTAATTATCCCTTCTGCCCCAATCTTATTGTTAATAGGTTTCAAAAACATAATCAGGGATATTTTTGGTGTTGTTATTACGGCTGCTTTTGACACAATGTTACTGACAGTGAGAGACATTAGCATATGCAGACAGACCTAAGTTATAGCCGTTTCTTTGTAGTTAAGCTTGAGAACATTTTCTTATTCCATATGTTGGTAAATGATCTTAATTCTTTTATTTCCGATGTATTCAAGAACAAAATCATCATCATCATCATCATCATCATCATCTTAATTCTTTCACTGGATTCCAATCACAGAGCAATTCCCTTTGTTACTGGCGTGGTAATGATACAAATTTTCATGTGCTGATAAATTTACATTCATGAAACAGAGATCTGAGCCACAATGATCTCACAGGATCTCTTCCATGGAGCCTTCCCTTACTGCCACAACTAAAGTCCTTGTAAGTTTTCTTCCACATTTTAATACTCTACTACTTCTAAACTAGGAACCTCCTTCTAGTCATTATACTTTTTCTCCCCAAGCCCCAACTAAACCAAAAATGAATGGAAGCGTTGAATTTCTTTCAGGTATTTTGGCTGCAATAAGCGCATGAACAAGGAGGTTCCAACTTCCTTGAACAGCTTAGCCAATACAGAGTATGGAGTTTTCCCTAAATCAACGAAAGATTTTAGGTTGAAAAAGAAAGGAAAAGAAAAATGACCGGTTTACATTGATGTTTCAGTTATGGAAGCTGTAAAGCTGGAGAAGCAGGAATTTCCCAAAAGCACATCATCATTGGAACCGTTACATGTGGATTGCTCCTGATTATTTTGGCTATTGGAATTCTTTTGGGTTGCAATAAAAGAGGAAAATTAGTCCCCTGGGGAACATCTGATGAAAAGGGATACCCAAGAACCACAAGTAAGTACGTCAGATCTCTTAAGCACATTCCAAAAATACTTTCATCTCTTAATGACATGGAGCTTTCTTACTGGTTTGCTTTTGACCATCAAAAGAACAACTAAATAAATAAACCTCTCGAAGAGCAGCAAAGGGCGTGATTTTAATTACAGGAAATCCCCAAAAAATTCTTGCATTAAAATCAGGAACTTGCTCATTGACTTGTATAAGAGAAAATGAAATAGAAACATCGTCTCTTCAGTCAGGAAGAAGATCATTTTAACAGGTCAATGCAAAAGTATCCAACATTTCTACCATACATGCAGATTTGATTTTCTCTTTGAGCGGTAAAGATGATTTCATCTTTAAGTCGGTATCCATTCAAACATTCACCCTGGAATACATAGAGGCAGCCACCCAAAACTACAAAACTTTGATTGGTGAAGGAGGGTTTGGGTCTGTTTACCGTGGCACTCTAGAAGATGGCCAAGAAGTTGCAGTGAAGGTCCGTTCAGCCACATCAACTCAGGGAACTCGTGAGTTTGACAACGAGGTATAGTCTCTTTTTAGTCTAACTAGATGTGAGTTTCATGCGTTGCATGGAGTGTCAAGTAAGTTTATATTGTTTATGACTTATGTACAGTGCAACTTCCTATAAATTATATATATATATATAGAATTGATGTAAATTAATTTTTCACAACTAGCTTCCTCTAACAAGTCTATGGCAGGTAAACTTGCTCTCTGCCATACGGCATGAGAACCTGGTGCCACTTATCGGTTACTGTTATGAAAGGGATCAACAAATTCTCGTGTATCCTTTCATGTCTAATGGTTCTTTACAAGATAGGCTTTATGGTAAATATCCCACTATTCTTACACCTGATTTACTTTAAACTTTCAATTCCCAGTATTTCTAAATCACAGTTTACCAACAGGGGAACCCGCAAAGAGAAAACCATTAGACTGGCCAACCAGGTTATCTATTGCTCTTGGTGCAGGTCGAGGCAAGTGAATATATGTTGTGTTTTTTCATCAAGCAGTTCCAACTTTGACTGATCCAGATATGAACTCGCCACCTTATTAGAAAGAGAAATCACGTCAATAAATCACAAGAAGTTTAAGCTAATTCTATGTAAAAAATAAACGAAATGAAGCATATACAAGAAGCCAGATGTGGCCACAAGAACTACCGCTAACTCCGATACTATGTAGACGGACTTCACAGTTTTCATCTTCTAAGATATTTGGATCACCAGAATGATTACATTGTTTCTCTGATTGAGCAGGTTTGTCATATCTTCACACATTTTCGGGACGTTCTGTTATACACAGAGATGTGAAATCAAGCAATATTCTTCTGGATCACAGCATGTGTGCCAAGGTAGCAGACTTTGGTTTCTCAAAATATGCTCCCCAGGAAGGAGACAGTGGTGCTTCTCTTGAAGTAAGAGGAACGGCAGGATATATGGACCCTGAGTAAGTAGATTTGCTAAAGAATGACCTGCAAGCTCCCCTCTTATCTTACATAATCTTAGATTATTTAACAAAACTATAAACAAATTTTCACAAAAGCTGACATTTATATATATGCAGGTACTATACGACCCAGCAATTATCTGCAAAGAGTGATGTCTTTAGCTTTGGCATGGTTTTACTTGAAATTGTGAGTGGCCGGGAACCTCTCAACACGCAAAGACCACGGAATGAGTGGAACTTGGTGGAATGGGTATGGTGCAAGTACAAAACGACTTCATCATTTGCCACGCAAGTAGAACATAGTTTCATTCAGCCAATTGTCTCTACACCAGAATAGCATTTATCTTACATATAGAGTATCCTGGAAAACCAGGACAAACCTGTTTGGCACTAAGAAATAACTCTGCATGCAGGCTAAACCGTATATACGGGCGTCGAAGATCGATGAAATTGTGGATCCTAGCATCAAGGGAGGATATCATGCAGAGGCCATGTGGAGAGTAGTGGAAACAGCATTAGCGTGTATTGAACCATTCTCAGTACATCGACCAAGCATGGGTGATATTGTCCGTGAGTTGGAGGATGCTCTGATTATAGAAAACAATGCATCAGAATACATGAAGTCCATAGAAAGCCTTGGAGGATCAAATCGCAACTCCATTGTCATGGAGAAGAAGATGGCAGCCCCATCTCCATCAACAACAGAATCAGCCATCTCGCCCAAAACCTTGTCCCACCCACAGCCCAGATAGCAAATACGGGCGAATGAGAATTCTTTGATTCGTTACTGATACTAGTCATGTCACATTGAGACAATACTAACAGTGCACTACAACCTTGCTTAGCTTTCTTTATGCTGGGGGTAAGAAGGAATGGATTCAGATCAAAAAATGCGACTAAAAATATGTTACGGATGGGAAACTTCGGTTGCAAAACTGACACGTAAAGAATGCCTACATCGGGGTTCGGCTGTGATTCTTTCGTTCATCGTCAACTCCTGGACAGCTCAACCTGAAAACTGCAGAGTGCTTCCATTTTCCCTTTCTGTTTTATTTTGTTTTGTCTAACATCAATTTCTGTAACGAGTTTAATATATTGAACTCAAGGGTCTGGACTCGGTTTGTAATATGAAGACGCAAGACTCGAGGGGTAGAAAACTAGAACTTTGATGCTTTCGTCACGGATTGTTTCTTTATGAATCATCATTCATTAAAGTTTAAAGTCAATCTCTTATAATATCTCTGGGATCAAAAGGCAACAAGGGCAACACGAGCAAAATAATACCGTAGTAAAACCTTGTTAGATCAGGTTTTGTGAAGCAAAAACATCTAGAAGTGGCCAAGTTGATTTTCTTCAAGGGGCCATTCATACCTTGTATGGTGGTAGGGCAGGATTTTCAAGAAGCTTTAATGGCAGACAATAACATGTTTCTTGCTCCTTGGATGACCATCAAAAAGTGAACAACATAGAATTGTAGGCAACCTAGGATTCACCGTTGCCATCTGGAATTGAAACCTTCCACCCACGAAAATTGACCAATAAGCTACCCAAAATCCAACATCTCATTTGCTGAATTGCTGTGGGAAGTGTATCCAGAATCCCTCTACCAGTATATTTATCCGCCATAAAAGGCTAGAGAAAATCCACAAAGATCATGCAGGACTTCATTCCCAAATGCAGTTCTGAGTTATACCAGTCCAGATGAGAGTTTACCACAAATTACTGCTTTTAATAGGTGTTCCTACATGACAATCAATGAGGATAAAGAAAGAATAAAGAGAGAACAACTAGGAAAAACTGAGGCCATTAACCTCTGGATCTGTATTCTCCAAACTCTTCAGTTTTATATTAAAGACAAATCAGAAGCTTCGAGCACAGCCTGTTATTAAGAAAGAGATGATGCGATTTGCAACCCCGATAATAATTACACCTTAATAAAGTATCAAACGCGTTTTGTTCTGATTGTAACATATCGTTCAATCCGTACGGTATTAACTTGCGGCATCAAGAGGACGGAATCCAGTTTCCGTCAAAATTAAGAGCCTTCTTTTCACAAAATTGTTACTATTGTTTTTCTTACTCCATACTGCTTCTCCCTATCTTGCAAAACATCCATGAAGCAACTGTAATGGTTCGTAAATTCTTCATGATCCAATCAAACAGAACACCAATTACCATCACCTTAATAAAGATTAGCGTCTCTGGCGGAAACCAGAAAGCAAAATTTTACATGTATGAGCCAAAAATGGAAAATCGCGAACTAGATTTATATCATGAAACATGGGATTACAGAGACAGTTTACTGTTGAACGACTTATGGGTACAATATAGGTTGGAAAGTGCTTACAGTAAGGCTGAATTACAAAAACATGGTCCAGGCAAACATCATGTGGTAAATAGAGAAGGGTTGGCCGATGCAGTGCTCACTTGAACCTCAAGGAGTTCTAGTCGACGTTCTAAGACATCAAGCTTCTCATTCAATGATGCCAACTTACTCTTCGTCGTAGCCTCTGAATGAGCAAAAAACAAAATTAAATGGGCGGATGAAATTATGAATCCGAGAAAAAGCTGAATATCACGCAGACATGTCTATCCTATGAGGAGATTAGCAACTGCGTACCAAATTGGACAAGGAATTCGAAGAGGCGACGAACATTTAGAGAAATGTGAGAGATGAATTCGCGGTTCTCCCAGTCAGCTTGGACCGCTATTCCAACATTGACAGCGTTTGTGATGCCTCCAGCTCGAGCCATATTTTTTGTAGATCCACCGTTAGCTAACAACGCCGACTGCGGAGAGGAACGATGCCACCGCTTCCAAAATACCCACCGCCGTGAAGCCCAACTGAACCAGAACCACCTACTCAACCGTACGATTTAGTGCGCGTGGGTTTACAATGTTGAAACAAGAAGAAAATATCTATGATAGGACCAAAAAAGAGTTTTTGTACAAAAAAGATGTTAACATGACTAGTGTGTGGGTGAAGTCATAACTAGTAATACCCTGCAATATAGTGATAGTATCATTTTACAGAATGCATTAATATTAATATAATATCAGTGCCTACAATTAAATCAGAAGTATCGTTACCAAATTTTTCAAGTTACATTAGGATTAAAATTCTTTACTTCTGACTTTACCCTCCTTAAATACTATTTCTTTTAAAATTTCTTTTAAATTGACACACACACACTAAAACAAGGTTACTCCCAACCACCATTGGGCCACGACCGGAACTTGACTGCCAGACGCTTGACTTAAAGGCACGGGAATGACGAAGTGGTTAGCACGTCCCTTTTTTCTTTTTTTCTTTTTTTAATTTGCAACATCAACCAATTCCCACTAACCTTCCACATTTAAGGAATGTTTTTGTTCAGCCTGGCTAGGCCCGGCTTATCACCACACATCCGTCTTCAAGGGTGTGTTTAGTTAATGCCCTATTTGGTATATTGAAAATGATTTGGATGAAAATAAAAATGAACATAGATATAGAAATAGATGTGGAAGGGAAAATGGATATGAGTTCTAAAAATAAGCTTGGTATGTTTATGAAATTAAGAAATTATTTTTATTTAATGTCAATATTTAAAATATAAAATGACTAAAATGCCCTCATCTTAAAAAATTGCTCCAACCATGTCATCAAATATGAATAGAGGCAAGCAAGAGCAACCATTAGGGGAAAATTGATAACCACAAAAAACAATCAAACACTATTGTAGTAGAAATTGTGAGCTTTATGGAATTTGATTACTAGAATGGATGGGAGATTTGTGGAGGTTTGTAACTTGGTTGCTCAAAGCCTCAAACCCATAAATTAGATCTAGATTGAAGAAGGTTGAAAGAGTAACACGGGAAGGGTTAGAGTGGTGGTCGAGGTTAGAGCTTCGAGCTTCAAAACTGGAGCAGGCAAAGAAAGAGTCACGTTCAAGCATCAAAAATGGAGAAGAGGCAGAGGTCATCTATTTTGGAAAGAGGCGATGAAGCTCGACAACTCTCCGACATTGTTGTCGTCTTCATTGTACATGGAGGCTGATGAAATATTCTTTGATAGTGTCTTGGGTTCAATAAGATCAACCATGGTATCGACCAAATCAAGTGTCAACCAAATCGTCGCCTTCAAGCACTAGATCAAAAATTGAGAGAGAGGGACGGAGGGAGTTGAAGGCGGTGTGAGACGGATGTTGGTGAAAATCAACGTTAATGGTGTCATTGTTGTTAGATGTGAGAGAGCGTCAACAAAAATAGTGGTGAGGTGGCCGGGGATGTTGAAAATTGAGGTGGGGTTGTCAAAGGTGAGAGGGCAAATTTCTCTTAAAATTTCATTAATAATACAATTCTATGAAACCCATATCATTTTCATGGGTTTTCTCATGGAATCCAATTCAACCAATTTTGATGGAATTGAATTCTACATGAAAGTCAAATTCATGCATACCAAACTAACATTATTTTCAATTCTATATTTATTTTCAATTCCATACTCTAAAATCTAGTGTACCAAACATGAGAGTTTTTGGAAGGGAAGGGAAGCCTCCCCTCTTCTTATTTGGTTAGTGATTAATAAAAGAAGGAAAGGGGAACCCCTTGTTTGATTAAAAAATAAGAGAGGCCTCTCCCCTTCCAACCCTCTCCTCCAATTTGAGATTTTTTGTAAAGGAGAGGAGAGAAAAATAATTACAACAAATTTACATATTTATTTTAAAATATTAAACTACTTTTAATATTAAAAGATTATATATTATCTTTCTTTTTCTCGTTCTTATAATAAAATAAATTTTATCACCTTATAAAAATTAATATATAATTTTTTAATATATAAAATTTTAATATTTTTATTAGACTCACTAATAAAATATAATTCATTTTTCAAATTTTTTTATTAATATAAGTTTATATTCTTAAAATAAAAACTTAATAAATTTTAATATAATATTTTTTAAAGCAAAAATAAATATCAAGTTAAATTAGATAAAAAAAATTGTTAATTTATTTTTTATTTACCTTCCCTTTCCTTTCTTCTTAAATCAAAAACAATGGTTTATTAAAACTCCTCTCCGCTCCCCCTTCATCCCACACCTTAAAGCTTTATGAGACCCACTTCATAGAATATAATAAATAAATAATACCTTGTTTTCTTAGTTACCTACAAAAACAATCTTATTCAAGATATAATCAAACATTAAATGTAAAAACATTTGTCCTCAGAAATTCAAACTTCAATTTCACCAAATCTTTCTACTAAATCAAACTCTTATAATTAAATAAATAATACTCTCTCCCTTCCCAATTATAAAATACTTTTAGACAAAATTTTACATATCAATAAATTTCATTAAATACACTTAACAATCTTATCCTTTTAAAACAAAATATAAACATTCAAAAATACATATAATTTAATATATTGAAAAGAAAAATGACAAAAATTAATTATATAAAAAGAAAGAATAATATTAAAATTAATGCATTTGATAAAACCTTAACATACTCAAAATATTTTATATTTTGAAATAAAAAAAATTCCTTCAAAAGTAATTGGAACGGAGGGAGTACTCACCAATTATCATGCATTTAAGTTTTTAAAACATTCGATTCATTTTCTTATTTATCCCGTCAATAACAGTATCATCATCACCTCAAATTTTATCATTCATTGTAAACGAGGCATAGAATATGAAGCCAAGTCTCCACTATTATCTAAAAGAAAAATAAATTGACCGAAATTTATCTTCATAACCATTTTGCCCACACACACTCTCCCTCCATATAAGGCGGAGTCCTAAACCCGGATAAAGAGGATTGTGATCAACGAAAAACTCTTTGCTGAATCCTCACATGAAGATGGAGAGAGGCAGATTCCTTGGCCTCTACGTGGAATCGAGAGAGCTTTTACTTTCCATTCACTATTTCCGATGAATCTCCAAGAAGCCGTGCTTCCATGATACAAATTATTCAATTAAGAACTCCTTGCACAACAAAATCACTAAATGACAGACTCCAACGTTTGGATGATAATGCAAAACTCAGCTCATCAGCAAGGTAGACACAGACGACACGCAGACCAGTGAAACAAGTCTGCCTTCTCCAGAAGCTTATGCCATGAAATAACAAAACATTGGAGCCCACCAGCCTGCCTCTACCTAACCTAACATACTGGAGATCAACAACTCCATCAAGCTGCAGCTGGTAATAGGCCATTGTGCCTGAGCAATGCGTCTGGTGTTGGTTCTCTGCCCCGGAATTGTACAAAGACCTGCATAGCCGTTAGATAAGAACAAGATGATTAATACACAGAAAGGTAGTCATAGTGATTGAGATGATTCTTAGGGTTTTTATTATCAAAACTACACAACCAGAATATTGAAGCTGGGCTAAGATGTACCTCCAATGGTGCCTTGCCACCACCAAGAGCAAGAATGGACTCTCGGAACCTCTGCCCTGTTTCTTTCACGGCCTATGGAAAATGCATAAAAATGGTCGCAGCTCAGAAGTAAACATGTAACGAGGGGGAAAGGCTTAACATCTAAAAATCACAAATCGTGTGCAAGCGTAATGACAGGAAACAGTAGCTCCTAGCTTTGCATGAGACTATGAGTGTCACCAATTAAGGAGAATGACATAAGAAAATGATGTTGAAAATGAGAGAATACGCCGCAGAAACTGAATTTGAGATGCTATTGCCTAAAGTTCACTCCTCGCAAAGCATGATACCGTCCTTAACAACATAGGAAGAACTGAAGTCCAAACCACTAGAGTCACAAGCACCGAAGTCTGAAGACTGCTGCTGTATGAGTGCATGTAAACCTTATGACACGGCCAACAAAGCAAAACTCAGCTAGCTTCATCATTCTCTAAATGAATATTTTGGATAGACGGGGGCAGGAAACTATCTCTAAGTTCTCGATTATTAATGAGAACTCCATGTTTACCAATGGTAACTTCAAATAAATCATCATTGTCACTTATAGTGACAATGTTGCGCACTACACCACACAAGGAGCACAACTGAATCTTCCAATGACTTGACAGCATGCCATTAGTTAAACAAAAAGAAGACTTAAGTGCAGTTCTTTATAACTTTGCCATAAAGTAACCCAATTAAAACATTACAAAGTATGTTGATGTAAACCAGCAAGGGGAAGGGGAAGAGAGGAAAGAGAAAGGAGGAAGAGATATAGAGAAGAAAAGGAGAGATAGAAGAAATATAAAGGGGGGCCCTCAAATATCCAATATTTATTCAAAGCACCAAAAGGTCTAACAATAAGAAAAACTTGGGGCTAAAATATTGATAATAATTAAATTTAAAATAGTTTGAAAAGATAAGATAATGATCAGATAAATGTTAATTAATACTTATTCAAAATAAATCAATAAGACAATCCAGATATCCCTATTTAAATAAAATATCATGATCTTAATAAAACAGGCTTGTAATTGTCTTAGGATGATGATTGTGATGACGAAATAATCCTGACTTTCCTTAATCTCATATTTTATCATATGTTCTTCAATAATAATGACATTGTGTAATCAAAAAACAAAAAGCTGGTTGGAGAACCATACACTTGTCATGTTCTAATTGAGAAATGATATATCAAAAATATAAAAACTACATAAATGGTTTTTCCTTTCACAGCTTCTGCCATTTGGAGCCAAAAAAAAAAAAGAATAGGCAATAAATGTAGATGGACAATACTAATTATCTTCTAATTGCTAAAACATTTTATTTTATTACTAATAAATTCGTCAAATGGGAGATTCAGAAGATTAAACACAGACAAGTTTCTGGAGCAAGAACTCGATCCTTATTGACAGGGTTTTCAAATAATACCTTGCTGTCATCCAATCCAGCATCCTCAAATGCAGAGAAAGCATCTGCAGACAACACTTCAGCCCACTGTATAATAGAAAAA